ATATTTGAAACTTTAAGGTATAATTGATGTAGGTGAGGGTTATTTCAATTCATTTTTGTTTGCTAATCTCAAGTTTAGACATAAAGAGGCACAATATTTTGACTACCAAATTTGTTTTTTAACATGTTGACAAAATTGACACACCCTAAATTGCTTAGCCTCCTCAGACCCGTATATCCTTATTCGCATTTTTCACTGCTACACTGCTAAACTGTTCTGTATGATTATAACATGTATCATGCATGAATCAATTTCCGCATAATATGAATTCTAAGGATTACAAGTTTTTGAACCATTGTATGATCCATTGTATGATTTATCAAGGCCCCGGTGTCTCTGTGTGAAGAAGTTTCCTGGTGTATGATGATCATGAATTACTCAACTTTCCACGTATAAGTTTTAATTTTAAAGCCCTATCACTCATATTGATATTTGTTTTCTTATTAGAAATATCTATGTGTGTGTTGTTTATGTTGAGTTTATATCGCAACATCTATTTATTATTATTTCCGAGTGAAATTACTTCTGAACGTTGCCACATGTACAACACGTTAACGTTACCACAGGGGGTAAACGATCTCTTTGAGGCAGCTGTTAGATCTTCACTAAACTATTCTTGTGTGTGAATTCTGGGAAATTTTGGATCATATGAAGATTAGCCCCCTAGCTTATCTCGCCTTATGATTAAATACTCTGGGGGGTTAGGTTAGGTTAGGTTAGGTTAGGTTAGGTTAGGTTACGTTACATTACATTACATAATATAAGGGTAGGTTAGGTTTGGTTTGGTTTAATCTCAAAGTGAAATAAATTAGGGAAAGTAATCTTCATATGGTCCAAATTCATCTATTAGTGGGGCAGCTAAATGCAATTTTTCAAGAGAATCATGCAAATGGTGATACAAACACCAAATTTAGCATGGCAATTCTCTAATGATTACTAGTCAAGTCTGCCTGATTGGCCATTTGAAAATCGAAGATGGCGGCCATTTTTCAAGATGACCGCCATATTGACCTTCAAAAGTTGATTTTTCTTATATAAATTGATGTAGTTGGTCAATCTGAGTGATCTTGGTGTCGATATGTATGTTTTCAAGCATGCTCAGATGATTTTTTTTATAGTTTGAAGTCCATTGTAACATTTTTATCCACATAAAATAACACTTTTAGTAAAAAAAAAATATAACAAAAAAGAACTTACTAAAAAAAAAGTACTCACTATTAGCACTGGTTCCTGTGACTTCTCCTGACAGTACATCTTTGTGCATTTACTGCTGTTCGCATATGCAGCTGCAAAGTGCTGTGCAGGAAAGTTCAGAGCGAAAGCATTTGCATCTCTGGTTGCAGTCTTTCTTACAGGAACATTTGGTCAGCTCCTGACAGCATGTCGCAATCGGGGGAAGAGTCGTCCAACGTATCTGCCATGCCTCTCCCTTCTGCAGACATCCACAGTTGACAGGACTGCATTGTTTTGTTCATGGGCTTGATCAATAGCAATGGCAGAGAACTCTCTTCCTGACTTGTGGACAACAAAGTTCCCCTTGTAGAACTCCCTCGCTACATCTGGATTTTGTTGCTCAAGGCACATCATGTCTCGAAGGTGAATTGGAAGCCATCGGGCATAATTAACATTGTTGTTCGCAAAGAAGTAGGGGATCAGCTCTGAGAGTGCTTCAAGGTAGAGTTTGAAATTGCCTTCCCTGAATGAGCGGATCAACATGAAGATGGTGAGCTCCATGTCCAGCACAAGGTTCCAGAATTGGAACTGTGAACTCTCAAGCCTCAGTTGTTTACACCAATTTTCAAAGCTCAAAGTTAACCTTTCAGACTCATCAGAGCAATAGTCCTGGTATGTCTCCTTCATCAGTTTGTACAAACTACATGCTGTGACTTGATGTGCTAGTCTTGTCTTAGTTACACTTGACACAGAGAGAAAAGACTCTGCTGTACCAGATGAAGCCACTCCTGCTTCAACAAGGGAACCGGTCCAACCACTGTCTTGTAGTAGCGTTCCTATTGATCTCAGTGCAGCCATCCTTATGTGAAGTCCCCCGAACATAATAACATACCTGTCTTCTCCATACTCAGGCCAATGCCATTGGATTTGTTTTGCCAGGGCATACAGTGGCTGGTCAGCAGCAATGACTGGGATCTGACCTGGGTTCAGAAAAGCCACTGTATCACGAACCTTTTCCATGACATGCGCTGATGGTTGCCACAGAGTGTGCCTGATCTCGAAGCAGGGGAAGCAGAGACATAATGCTCACTTCAAATGGCTGACTCCTCTTCTGTGCTGCATGGTGAGCTGCCCACGTGATGCAGACTTCATCAGCCACATCCTCAGTGAGCAAGACTTCTTCCAACCAAGCATACTCTTCCTGCAGGTGTGACTGGATTGACTCAGGTGCTGGCAATGACTGAGGTGCTACCAAGGTCGGATTGGGATTCTTCATAATATAAGCTGGTCGCACATTGGTGAATGCCTCTGGAAGCTCAGGAACTTTCTAGACCATCGTATGTGCATTCCGTCTTTAGTGGCTCACGCTCCTCACCAGCCTGCTCAGGGCTTGGATGTTGTAAGATGGACACACTGGTCCCACGAAAGGACGTTTTGGCCGTAGTCGTAGTGGGGTTGTTGTCAATGTTGTCCACTGCTGAAGTCGTGAACAACTGCTTCCTCATGATTGGTGGACACACCACTCCATCTTCCACGTACTGGCATACAACTGCTTCTCCTTGCTGGGCTGATAATTGTAGAACTCTGTCATATGCAATGCTGACCCCAATTTCATGCAGCATTTCGATGAGCTGCCTCTTTCTTGTCTTAGCAAACACAGACATGCTGACGTAGATAGCAAAAGGTGTCTCATGGTCCTTGGAGTGTTTGTGGATTTGTGTTCCTACCTTGTAGTTGGCAAAGCAGTAAGAGCTGTGACATAGCAAGGTCAGACAGACTTCGATGCGCCATGCTGGAGTTGGGATTTGATATCTGCACCACGTTCGATCATGCATACAAATTGAAGCAGTGATGGTGGAACAGCCTGTTCAATGCATCCTTCATGAAATGTACTGCTAAAGTGTTACTTGTGCTGAAGCATGTCCCGTCGTATCATCTCAGCAGCCTTGGCCAGATGGATCGCGTCACCGTATTTGCTTGCTTGTGCCAGGATTGAGCCAACATCCTTCTCAAAGGCCAGTAGGATATATCTTCCTTGGTGATGAGCTTGCAGCTGGGGCATGTGAAAAAGCAGCTGGTCCTTCAGTCGAGTAGCATGAACATCGGGCGATCCAACACCCAGCTGCTCAAGTCTCTGTCTGTAGAGTGTGACCAGGTCAGCAAGTCTGAAAATGGGTGGTTCAGTACCTTCACTAGAAGCTTTCATCTGAGTGGTGTAAGTGACCAGTTCAGAGAAAGCAGTTGGGTATGCGTCCTTGTTCGGATGAAGCTCTTGTGCTTCCTCTTACTCATGAGCATTTCGGTGTGTTCTTTCTCGGTTGCACAGGTCTGCCAGGCAGCGAGAGTGATACTTCACTTCTTGTGCCACAAAATCTCCTGCACTTAGTTTGGGAAGGATTTTTCCATCGCTAAGTGTCTTCGCACAATCATTCAATCTTTTATAACGTTTCATTATCATTCCATGTCTTATGTCATTTCCCGAAGCTTTTTCCTCACATAGAAAGCATTCTGTTGCTTTGGGGTCTCTGACCATTCGTGGTATTTTGCTACTGCTGCTCTCCTCTGTAGCAACTGCAGAGGTTCGCCTTTTCTGAGCTCTATTTAACTTTGTGTTGTTGAACAGAAGTCCGCAACTCTCATGATACTGTGCCTTGTTTCTCCTTAAGGTCTCCTCTATCCCATCATCTTCAACAAGTCTTGCAGGGTCAAGCTTGATTGGCAGTGCATTGATTGAATGGAATAGATGAATATTCCTTGCCAATCTATTGTAATCGTCATATCCTTTTTTGGCAGGATTTGCATGTGGAGACTTAAGATCTTCCTTCTTATCCTGTTGACAAAGACAACACTTTGCCCAGTCAGTGAGGAATGATTTGTTGGTAGATTTTGTGTCCATAACTATTTTTGATCTTCAGGGCCGAGGGTTTATCCTTTTATCACCCTGATGAGAACTGTCTTGTATGGGATACAGCTAGGTTCATGCCTTTTGCCCTACACCTAGTCCGATCGTTCATCCAGTGTCATTAGTCCCGTGCGATCTTTACACCATCCAGATAACTAAAACCCAGTTTTCCTTGGCTCGGCTCTCCCGCGCTGGCACATCCTGTCAATTCAGGTGCGGCTGCTTAACTCATTTGGGGTTGGTTAAGCAGCATATGGGACACTAAGCTGTTGCAGTATGACATGCTTTTTCTTAGCTGACACTGAACCCCATGCTGAGTTGCACAGCAGTGAGTCACCTGTGTGCCCTGGTTGTGCCCGAAAATCACTCCCTCACATGCGGAGACCCTCTGCATGCTACCCTCACCTAGTTGGAAAAAACATAAAACCAGTACATAAAACCAGTCATAAATAACACAAATATATATGTGAGAGTATCAGAAATAAAAAAAAATCACCTGAGCATGCTTGAAAACATACATATCGACACTAAGATCATTTAGATTGACCAACTACATCAATTTCTAAAAAAAACAATCATCTTTTGAAGGTCAATTTGGCAGCCATCTTGAAAAATGGCCGCTATCTTGGATTTCCAAATGACCAATCAGGCAGATTTGACAAGTAGCTCCTAGGGTATGATCATGCCAAATTTCATGCTCGTATCACCATTTGCACGATTTTTCCTCTCTACTATATAAATGGATTGATATTTGATGCTGTTAATTTGTAATTTAGATTTGTTTTCCTAGTTCCACTTGTCTGTTCTCTTCTATTACCTCATTTTTACTTTCAAGTTTAGAATTTATCACCCAATCTATTTTCCGGTGGTGACTACAGACGTACAGCAGTAAAGCATCTTGTTGTTCTTAATTGTTGTCCAGGTGTGGTTACTGATGTTGGCCAGCCTCTTGAGTGTGGGCATGGCCATGACCTGTGTGGTAAGGGCTGAGGATAACATCTTCGGGATCCTCACCAACAATATCCTCCCCAAGTCTCTTATGTGGGTCATCCAGACACTCTCCCAAGAGAGTAAGTTAGCGATCTTTTTCATCTTTATATTCTTCTCAAAACATAATTTTAATGTATAATGTGACTTTTTGTGTTATTTCTGTCTGCAATGCACGGTCACAAGCTTGAAGATAAAAAGCTGAAATTTAGCAGATAATTAATATTGTTTAGTTATTCATTTAGTTGTATATATTTATTATTTTTTGCTTAGTCCTATGCACTTAATTTCGGCAAAGCTCTGGTTAACATCACTTCGTCAAAAATAACACGAGCAACGTCGAAACATATATGCGGTTCATGAAACTATAATAATTGTAATAGAAATAATCGTGATAGCAATAACAATGAAAATATTAATAAATTAATAATAATAATAATAGTAATTATAATAATAATAATAATAATAATAATAATAATAATAATAATAATAATAATAATGATAATTATAATAATAATAATAATTAGTATTATCATTATTATTATAATCAAAATTATGTAAGTTTTTACTGCTGGAGAACAAGTGCGAAATGATGTCAGTTAATTCTTCACTTGGTATCATGCCTCAGACCCTTCTACAGTGATCGATCGACTTCATTTAGTGTTAAATCAAACGTTTCACCTCTTAACTCCATCACACTTTCATCTGGCAACATTAAATCAGTGATGTATTAGGTAACATAAGAGCGTTACCATATAAAGGATCACTTTTGTATACCCACATGATTTCTTCACCATTCCTTCATTCTTCTCACAGGTTCTGAGTGGCTGCCCAAGAAGGACGGAGGCCGCCTCATAGTGACCACGTGGCTCCTGGCCTCCTTGGTGTTCATGACCTCCTACGGTGGCATCCTGACAGCCATGTTGACGGTGCCTCGGGTCACCATCCCCATAGACTCCCTGGCTGACTTGGTGACCCAGACTGACCTGACTTGGCACAATGAGGCTGGCTCTAGCTTGCTCACATACTTTAGGGTAATTTCAAAACTAAATGAAAGAAACTTATATCATAGATACAAATATAAACTACTGAAACTTAGAATATTTCCATTATCATTTACTCGAGTTTACTTTTTGTTCACCTGTGTGTAAATGAATACTGCATATATTTATTTTAATATTTTCATTAGTGTCTATCAAGCTAGGAAAATACATCATTAAAATTTTGGTTTACTTGCAACAAAATCATTCCATACTATCATTCTCCTAATTCTTCATCCCCCCCTTCATTTACCTTGTCCTAAACTAATCCCCTGCCCCCCCCATCCCCCCCCCCAAAAAAAAACACCTTATTACTTCCACCCAGTAACACAGGCAATTGCCCTTCTTCCTTAGCTGCAGACGTCAAGTCAAATATACTCAACACATTTTATTTATAAAACGCTGAGCTGAGGGTAGTAAGTTAGGTTAGGTTAGGTTTGGTTAGGTTAATTTTGTTTAGGTCAGGATAGGTAAATAATTAAGGCTGGTTTGTTAGGCAGTGTAAGATCAGTTGAGAATAACTTAGCTTAGGTTAAATTCGGTTACGGTTAGTTTTAATATCAGGTTAGGTTAGGTTAGGTTAGGTTAGGTTAGGTTAGGTGTATTAAATTAGATTATGCTAGGTTAGATTCTGTTCCTACCAGCGTGGCGAATACAAACAAAATATATGACAATAGTTTCTCTCTCTCTCTCTCTCTCTCTCTCTCTCTCTCTCTCTCTCTCATATATTCCCTGCGCATCTGTATCTTCTTCTCTTTAGCTTCTATATTATTATTATTATTATTATTATTATTATTATTATTATTATTATTATTATTATATTATTATTATTATTATTATTATTATTATTATTATTATTATTATTATTATTATTATTATTAATATATTATTATTATTATTATTATTATTATTATTATTATTATTATTATTATTATTATTATTATTATTATTATTATTATTATTATTATTATTATTATTATTATTATTATTATTATTATTATTATTATTATTATTATTATTATTATTATTATTATTATTATTATTATTATTATTATTATTATTATTATTATTATTATTATTATTATTATTATTATTATTATTATTATTATTATTATTATTATTACTATTATTATTATTATTATTACATTTTCGCCCCCCAGACCCCGTTGTGGGTCAGTGACCTGTGCCCGGGTGGGCTAATCCCCGTAAAAAAAAATTCACTTCGTCATTCATTATTCCATTTGCTGACAAATCCTCCGCTTTTCTTCCTTCATTCTCTCTTCATTCATAGTTACATTATTTTGTCTTAATTCTTTACTTATCTATTATCATCATATATCCTTTATTGTTCTATTTCACATTCTTATCTAAATTTACTGTATATTGTTTTCTATCTGTCTCCTGTTTATACTTATTATCAATATATTTTCATTAGCGCATATTTTCATCATAGGAAATTTTCTCTTCCAAAATTATTTAAATTACCTTTACAACATTTCTTTTGAATAAAACATCACAGCATCCATCTATTTTCAATTCTTTATTACCAATTGTTTTTCCTGTCGACCTCATCCATTCATTTCTTTACACTATATTTTCTTATTACCTTTATAATCTTGTAACAAATTTTCTTTCTCCCACTTGTCCTTTTCGTCTATTTTACATAATTTATGTTGTTGATTCTTGATTTATTCACTTGGCAGGAGTCCGCGGATGAGTTGCATCAGAAGGTTCACAGAGGTCAGGGCCCGAACATTAAGGCTTGCCTGAATGAGCGACAGAATATCGCAGATGGTAAGTTGGCTGCCATCTGTGACGACACCACCATGATGAAGGCCATGGCTGATGACTTCAGGTAGGTGCTGCTGCTGGACTTATGTTATACAGGAGTCTAGACACAGTTTCCTGGTATCTTAGACATTTTCTGGATCACCTGAAGATTAGCCCCTCAGCTTATTTCACCTTAAGATAACTAACCCAACGCAAACATAACATGAAATAACATGAAATAACATAACATAACATAACATAACATAACATAACATAACATAACATGACATAACATAATATAACCTAACATAACCCACTGGTGTTTAATCATCAAAGTGAAATACATATTTTTGGCCACTTTTTGAAGACTACCTAATTTGATAACTGGCAATAAACTGAATAAATAAGTTAATATAACTCAGCATATTACTAGATGCATGACTATATGATGTTGAGAGATATCAGCAAAGACTATGGTTACAGCGAGACAGGAGAGTGTCATCTATACATCACACGAGAGAAGGTGTTGAGTCACGCTATTATGGCCCTCGCCTTCACCAAACACTCCCTCTACCTCGCCAAGACCAACCAATTGTAAGCTTTTGAATTCAGAAAAGTTTATTTATTTTTTTTAGATTTATAAATAGAAGGATTTTATTGCATGTAATATGATTGCCAGGTGGTGATAGTAATATAAAGGTGATGTTTGAATTGACTATCAGAAAAAAAAGTAATTAATTTCGTTTTCTCAGAAATATTTTACTTTTCTCTACTGCCCATCTTGCAGGATACTAATTATTATCTTACCCTCTTCTGTCGCTTCATCTTTTTGTAAAACTCATTTTTCTTCGGTTTTAATGTCTATGTGGATTTGTTTCTTCTTATATCTTCAATTCATCAAATCTTTTGTCCTGTCTTCTATCACTTCCACGTTCCACTATAACCTTCTTAACCTTCTTCGACCACCACTACCTTTCACTTGACCTCTCTCTCTCTCTCTCTCACATAATTCCCACTCTAATGAATATCTTTAGTTTTCCCTCAGACAAGGTAATGGTGAATAAGATTAACAAAAATCCGTTTTTCTCGATATTTAAAACCCACTGAACAAAATCAATCCACATGAAATTAAAAGCAATGACAAAGATTTTCAATTCAACAATTTTTCAACTACTTTTCCATCAGTCCAAAATTCCACCTGGTGAAATACATAAAATCCACCTAATGCAGTACAGAAAGATTTAACAATAGACCAAATCAACTAAATCCACCCAATTAACAAGAGCCTCTCTCTTACTGTGTGTAGAGTGCAGGTAGTGCTGGAGGCAGGGTTGTGGAACAAATGGCTGGGAGACCAACTGGCTAACTCTTCACGCTGCCTCCGCCACCCTCAGTTGGACCGTCGCCAGAGAGGTCTTCAACCTATCGACATGGACTCCTTCATCGGCCCTCTCCTCCTCCTACTCCTCGGTCAGTGTTACTGATTTTTTGTTGGCACTGTATTTTGAAACCATTTTTTTTCGATAACTGTATATCATAAATCCTGGGAGGTTTATTATTTGTGGTGCATATAGAATGTATAAAGTCCGTGTGTATTTTCAAACTTTAATAACCTGTGTAAAATGTGATAAAATTATCTACAAAAGGAATAGAAAAGGTAAATGTACAAAATTTTTAGCACAATTATTGCATACATTTCTAATTGTCAACATAACCACCATATCTCATGATACATGTTCATACAGGTTATAGGAGCAGTAAGTTAAATACGGCAGGATAACAATGTAGACTTTGTCTGACATTGTCGTTACCTTATTTCTAGGTAGATATAATTGATACTTAAATTTAATTTTCAACTAAAGAGAGAAAAGGAGGAAAGAAGGACCATAAACCAATTTGGAAGGAACATTGAAAACATGAAAAAATCTTTTTTAACATGTAATGACTGCGTTTGACACCATTATAATGGGTCCCTCTGACACCATTGTAATAGATACCAATGGTACCATTATGAAAATATAGTGAGAGATATAGTAGGAGGGATTGCAAAGTGAATAATGATGGTACCGTGGCCCATTAATTATCAATCATAAATATAAACTTAGGGGAAATCTTTTAAACACCAATATTAGATACGAGTTATTTATTAGTTAACTGAATGGACCTTTGACACCTAGATATAAACATGAAATGGACACACGTCCTACTAAAGTAATTCAATTCATCCTATGGATCACTCTGACAATAACTCACGTGTAACCTGTGGGAGACTCAGCACTGGGGACTCTAACTGTCGGCCCGGTACTGCTGGAGAGACAGGTCCTCCTCCCGACGTGTGACTCGGGCTGGAGTGTGGTTCCTACGGATGCTGTACTCTGTCTCCTATAGGAGTCTCTGCCAGCTGGGGACTCAGCGGTGGGGAGGGCGATCTTCCTCCCGACGTGGGACTCAGTCTGAGGGTGACTCTGACTGGTGCTGGTTTTTGTGTTTCCCTGGGAAGCTCTGCAAACTGGGACTCAGCGCTGGGGAGAGAGGTTACCAGGCCGCTGTTGCCGTGTGCTTGAGTCACGGGGAGTGGTGTGCTTATCGTGGTAGGCTCTCCGGTGGTGCTTCCTAATTATTACTAATCTGGGTGTGTTTGGTCAGGTGATGGTGTACTGGCCCGGATAACATTTCTATCTTGCGTACTTACTCTAAAAGGTTTCTTTAAAAATGAACACCGCAACTCCTGTTGTCTCGGTAGGGTTATGAAAATTCTTCGTCCGTTGTGTCATATTGTATCACACAAAATGTTAAAGATACGTTTTGGAGCGATTTTACTGTACAATACATACAATTTATTAAAGTTTAAAACTCAACACCTACTATATAAAAACCTTGCATATGTAACCATATTGATTAAGAAAATATGAGTGCTTTATACCATGAAATAACAAGATTTGCAGCTTGTGAACTTCTAACTTCAAACATATGATCCTGAAAAAAAAAATTTTGTCATTGACTTTGACCTGCTAAGTCATAACTGAGCGCGGCGGCCAAGTGGATGCAGCGCTTGACTCTTGTTCCATGGGTCGTTGGTTTGACTCCCGGTCGCTCCCACTTCACCCAGCTGTAAATGGGTACCTAAGTTTACAACTTGGAGAAATGAAATCGGTCGAGAGCAGTACCGGCCATGCTGGCCCCTTGTGTACCGAAGGCTTAGTATCCACACTGTCACTAACAGGCAGTCATGCCTATAGGATCCACTTTCTTTCAAGTCGGTGCAGGTGAGGTTTATGAATTTATGGAGGACTGGCAGGTGATGGTCACGGCTCTGGTGTGAGTGGCGGGGGTCCTGTGTCCTGATAAACAAAAGTTTCTTTTTCCTTTTATTTACAGGCTCAGGAATAGGACTGATGGTTTTTCTATGTGAACATATGATTCATCTGCCACAGCGTAACACAGCGTAATACCACGGTCAGTATCTACCATGAATAAAAATCTGAGATGAACATATATATGCATATCAACTTGTGTTTGTGTGTATGTGTGCGCATTTATGTTTGTACTTGTGGTTGTGTTTATTTTCTTTGTACATTCCTGTATACGTTTGCATATATTAATGAGTAAATGTGTGTAAGTGAAGAAGAAAGTATAACACATAACAAAAATCGCCTCCTCTCACAGGCGAGGCACAGCTTCCTCCTGAACTACTCGGCTACTGCTCACTGTACTGGCTCCCCTCACCATACCAGCCATCGCTAGTGTCAACACTTGTAACTCACCACCCAAGACAGACCTTGCGACAACATATATATATATATATATATATATATATATATATATATATATATATATATATATATATATATATATATATATATATATATATATATATATATATATATATATATATATATATATATTCATATTTGTAAATTTTTCTAAATATTTACTCTTATTCGGGGAAAATCTGAGTATACGTCATAAAAATTTGATAATAATGGCGCTCATCTGTTGATTGGGTTTAGTGTTTTCATGCAATACGTTTGTTTGTAATTGTTTTCACTTTAATGTGTAATAACAACACACATTGCAAATAAAGATATTCAGCAGCTACACTGTCTATGATTAAAGCGTTGTCTGACAGACTTGTGCATGCTCTCACAAGATATGTAAAATACATTAATATATGCACCAAAACAACACACCCATACACAACAAAAATATATACTGGTTGAACATCATAAAAAAATTAATGTTCTTTTCTTTTTCAGGTGAGGGAATTGATACAAATTAACGAAGGTGGCAGATAAATTAACACAAGATTAAGGGTTATTTTGGTACTCATTTACTTATATTCATGAGTGTTTTAATTATATATATTTATATTTTTACAACTGATCGGTGTTTAGCATCTGACTATCCATATATAAATATAAACTAACTCTTTCCTCTAGAGTTAAGTTTTCTCCCATCTTCGTAATACTCGGATGTTATGATTCCCTCACCTAAAAAAAAAAAGACATCGTCATTATATTTTTATGGAGCGCGACTTATGAAACAACCTGTACAATATGAATGAAATGAATTACAATGACATGGAAAAAAATTATTAAATTCTAAGTACAAAACAAAGTGTAAATTACTTGTTTTTACATTATGTGTAACTCGTATTGTCACCACCTCATGATACGCCGGAGAAGAGGAAGATTAAAGTGTATTACATCGTTATCTGTGTAGGTCTGTGGCGATAAAACCGACATTATTCTGTTGTTTTGGTTCTCCTTTCGCAATACATAAGCATAGTTTCATGCATACAGTATACGAGTATACGGTATTCTTATATATCTCGTTAAATTGTAAAGTTCTTTTCGTTTAAATGTCTTCCTGTCTTATAGTCATTTTGGCTTATGCATCCGAGAGTTCAGATTTTGCAATATTTTTCTCAATGTAAACAGCATGGTAATACTTGACTACACTTACGCGCCTGAACCAAAGGACATTTCTATTTACAATATAAAGGCTTTCATAACTTCAAGCGGTAAGAATTCTTTTATCTTCTATGGAGAAAAGTCCTTAAGTTGGTAGTCTAAGCGCCCAGCCTTCGTCGAGTATTATCAACAACATTACACATGATACGTGAATATATATCTAACACAGATGAATTCGAGAGTACAATGATGAAGGGAGATAACAGTGTAGGAAGAGAACACTGTTTTCAGGTCACCAACAACGTTGATGATTGATGGTGAAAGCTCTCTCAGAAATATGTAATGAAAGATCTCTCTCTCTCTCTCTCTCTCTCTCTCTCTCTCTCTCTCTCTCTCTCTCTCTCTCTCTCTCTCTCTCATGATGTTTAATTGTTAATATGGATTATATGCACTATGGACTTGAAATACTTCAGTTCTAGAATTACAGGGTGGCTGAAAGGTCTCTTTACCGAGAACAATTATTTATATACATATTCTCAATAATGCGACCTTTGCGCCATCGTGTATATTACGACATTAGTATTAACTTTTTGAATATAAAGTTATTTCCTTGTTAACTTTAATTACTGTTGGCCAAGGTCCATGTGTTAAGACCTTGACTGAAGTACATGGAAATACCATTTTCTCTTTTAACGACCAAAGATTTGCAGCTCATTTTTTTTTCATTCTCGTTAAATTGAGTTAGATTGAACAAAAACTGTATATTATAGATGAAAAAAAATATGCGCGTATTCATTCTGTTATACTGTATATAGCCAAAGATATATTAATAAGAAACTAGCTAAGAATACTCTTCTCTTTACATTAGATGTACCAAGACTATTATTGCCTGTTAGACTTGTAAAAGAGTTGGAAATATCAATGAATGTACATCTTTAGCACATAATTGAATTTCATAATCTGAACCTCATCACCCCAAAAAGCAACCTTCCCTTAGAAACCATTTCAGGGATCAATATAAAAGGCCATCCAGACAAAGACAATTGTTTCCTTGTGCCTTGATTTTCTTCTTGTTCCTCTACAAATTTCACTCAGCAATGCAACTGATATACAAATATTCATTCCGATTGACAAACCGTATTCATTGTTTTTCCTGCCAAAGTACCACTCAGCATCATGTTGCATTGTTAAAATTCATTTTAAAGGTAAATCTCCCTTGATTCACCGCCGCCAGGTAACATCCGCTGACGACCAGTATGATCACATCTTCGCCAGCCGCCGTCAGCTTCACAAGGGAAGGAAGAGCAAGACGACGTGGAAGAGTGAGTATTTTGTGGCTGCTCAGGGGTCATGCTCTCTCTCCCGACGACGATAAACACAGCTTGTTGATAGCATTGTTGAGCTGACGTTTCTCTCCTTATGGCGGACGCATTTTGAATTACAATCAGTATATCATCTAGCAGTGACAGATATACAACTAATTACAACGGATATATGTCTAGGTACAAAAGACATGTTTTTAGGTACAATGGACATATTTCTAGGTGCGACGAATATATATCTAGAAGTTGCGACAGATATATCTCGAGCTCCAACGTTCATATTTCCTATTGCGACAGATATATAGATAATAGATTGGTGTATATATATACTGTAGATTGTTAATTAACCTCAGTAATACAAAATAATCCATTACAAGACACTCATTACATATAATCATGCTAAACAACTATTACAGGCTCACATTTCGTTACATCAATCAATCACTCAGAGTACCGTTCTCATAACTTAGGGCTGGCTACCACAGTTTTAAATTTCATTCATTCATCCATCCTAGTTTCTACCTTCCCATGGTCCTCCTACCCTCAACTTTGTTCATTAGTATTTCTGTTATTATCCCCTTATCCCAAATTTGACCAAAGTATATAAATTTTCTTTTTCTGTAAATTTCAAGTATTCATCTTGAAGTTTTTGCTTACCTTAGTACTTCTTTATTTGTTTTACTATCAGAGTAACTTATTCTTAATATTCGCATATAGCACCATATTTAAAAAGCTTCTAACCTCCTTCTGGTATCTGCTGAAAGTGTCCACACTTCTGACTCATACATCAGTCATGACCATACAATATATAGCCTTTCAGTAGCCTTTTTTCAAATTGAAGTTAATGCTACTTTTTATTAGGCCTTATAGAGTATTATATGCTATTTTTGTTTGACCTATTCTTGTTATGATTTCTTCCGTACATCTACCATCACAGCGCATGAATGTTACTTCCAAATATACAAAGTTTTCCATTTGTTGAAGTTCCCTATTGCCTCCCATTGGTCTTATTTTAGGAATTGTTTCCAATTTTGAAACAATAATTACATTCATTTTTACAGCATTAACTCTTAATCTATATTCTTCACCCTTGTCCACTAATTTGTTAATCAGTTTTCTTACGCCTTTTCACTGTACAAGATAAAAGCAGTATAATTTTTTTATTTCCTTTTTTACGGAGATTAACCCACCCGGGCACAGGTCAAAGACACACATTAGGGCCTGGGGGTGAAAATATAATAATAATAATAATAATAATAATAATAATAATAATAATAATAATAATAATAATAATAATAATAATAATAATAATAATAATAATAATAATAATAATAATAATAATAATAATAATAATAATAATAATAATAATAATAATAACAACGACACTAATAATAAAAATCATAAAAAATAATAATAATAGCAACAATAATAAAATAGCCATAATTAAATATAAATATATAAAAAAAACATCAAAAGTGAGAAACGATGTACAGTATGTATGTTGTGTTGTCAAAGTAAGAGAAACAATTGAGACCCTGCAATTGTGTGTAAATGAGGAAGAAAGTCACATCAGCAACCTGGGACTTGGCCAACATTTTTGTGGTGCCATATGGCAGCAAGACCACCCATTGTATAGCGTATATTTGATATTACTTTACCATTAACTTTTATTCTTTCATTGTTACTTACAACTTCTCGCACTAAGAATTCTGAAGTTCATACATATACCTGTCAAAAAAATAGCTAGACTATATAACCCAAACTGTAGTTAATACAATACATTTAATTTTCTTCTGAGTGGATTGCACAGGAAGAAAACACTGGCCAAAAATCATGTCAAACAGTATACAGGTATCTTACCCTTCTATATACACACAAAAAATATCTTGAATAATTTCACATTCAGCATGAGGAATAATATGTCATAAAAATAGGACCTTCATTTGGTAAATTCATATACTCCCTGCGTATAATTAGTCAGGGGACAATACAGCACCATATATATATATATATATATATATATATATATATATATATATATCTATCTGAACAGCACCACAGCGACATATCGGTCCTCGAGTGGTAGGCGGCCCCGCCCTTGTCTAAAACATCGCCCTGATGCGTCTAGAGGATTGAAACTCGGATATGCTTTTATGTATGCCATCCATGGCAACATTCACACTTCCGGTATTTATTTTATTTCTTATAAAGCCTCATAAATGTTTACTGGTTGGCGTATTACAATAGTATTAATTACAGTATACATTACAAGAGACAAAGGGTCGTCTAACAGACATGTTATAGAAAAAATATGTTGTTTATTTTTCACTAAAACTTTTCGGGAAGAATAACCAAATTCAGCAAAAAAAAAATTATTTACATGTTGTCCCTCTAACACCCAACAATTTATTCAACGGCTAGTTTAAGATCAACATTTACTCGTGGTTCTTACTACAAGAATTTTGACATCACTTTAGTATAAAGGGTAAATAATTCTATAAAAAAATAACAGAAACATCAACACAAGACACATCTTGCCATTAGTGTGAGTTTTACAGCTCTGGAGACCAAATGATCGTTGTCAAGGACACATTTCTCTCTCAGTTGTAATTTATCTCTAACATCTTCACCAGACTGAGATAATATTTGTTCCTGGTCGACAGTCTGCTTGGTGCTAAATTCCAATTAGTCTTAGGCGGGAAATGTTAGATTTTTTCAATTTATGATAATAATAATAATAATAATAATAATAATAATAATAATAATAATAATAATAATAATAATAATAATAATAATAATAATAATAATAATAATCATAGCCCAAGATATTTAAGTGTTTGGGTGAACTGTCAACACCGTTATCACAACGCTGGTGAGGAAACGCTAAAAGAGAGGAAACACGCTTCGATTTAGTATAATTTCATTGGTTTAATGGAGGTTCAAATACAGACAAAGACCAGATTATAGTGATTTCAAAATACTAGTCTTAAAAAAAAGATATTGATCACGTTAATATTAGCTTCTCAGCTTATTGCTCCTTAAGATTAACTACCCCATGCTAACCTACCCTAACCTAACCTAACCTAACCTAACCAAACCTAACCTAACCTTAACCCCTGTGAGTTGTCATGGGACTTTCAGACAAAGAGTAAGGGCTTATAGAAACTCGGTGTGATACAACAATATACAGTACATTACATTTTTTTACATACCAAAGAGAAATACTTCATGTCCAAATATCTTCAGTTACTTCACGCACACCTCGGCAGCTATCTTGTACCCCACGTCTGCATGTGTATAACTGTACCAAGTTTGGAGTTCTGGTTCTCTTTTCCTGTCCGGTTTAGTCGGTTACTCACGTTGGTCTGCCACTGTCATCACCCCCCAACGATAGGGTTCGGTTCCAATTGATCTTTATACATAACATCGAAAGTTTTACACCTTATATTCTAGAAAACTAAATTAGGCTCTTACATAGTATTTTAACAATCAAAAATGAATAACACTGATATAAAGAAAAACCATAAATCGTGAATCGGCTGGATTGTCCAATTAACCAGGCCGTTCACACATATTTATTATTTGGGTTTAAGTAACGAAACCCAAACTGTAGTTCCTTGTTTTATTATAAAAGGATTGTATCTATAATTCCTGAGTGTAGATCGACCGTAAGTTCCACTATATATGAGTGAATGAAAAAGGGACGGCGTTTATGTAATATAAACGTTGATCACGTCCTAACGATATAAGTTGCCTTGAGTGACTAAGGAGTAAAGGCCTCGCAGTGCTGGCTTACATGGAGATGCTGACTATGGGTTTCTTCCCTCTTGGGAGAGTTGCCCTCTCACGTGTACAACTCATGTCGTACTCATAGACAGTGGAAAGTTACAGGGTGGTGAATCTTAATATAATATCAGCTGTATTGACCCATTTAAATAATATGTTCTGTTGATGAGACAGGGGCCCATTACGTCGCTCGGTCACCTACCAGCCGAGCTCTGTGAGGCCTAAATAACTCACAGAGTACAGTACATCCTAGACAACCCTAATCATATTATAAACAGATATGTAGACACTAAGCTGGGGACTCAACTACTGTAGGGGTATCAGCTACAACAGGGGACCTATACTTTAGTGTCTTACGGGTTAGTATGTTATGAACAATGTTGAATTTGGATGACACTGCCTTGTAATAACAGAACAGGAACATAATTGCCAGAATTAACAAAATAGAGGGAATTGTAAGGCTTGGTATTGCAAATTCCCGTGACAGATAAAATGGTAAGTTATTTTTCAAATCAGCAAAATGTGTCTCGTTCAAGAAAGCTAAAACTTTTAATTTCACTGAAACTATTTGAATATCCTTGATAGTGAAATTCATTATAGGCCGTTGAATTAAAGCAGACTTAAGTTTAAGATTTAAAGCAAAATGCTGATGAGTAGGCAAGGCCCGTAATGTACCACAAGTTATTTCACAATAATCAGGAGCCTTGTAGTGCCCTTTCACAACTAGCTGCTTAACACCATCATGGAATTTTAATATAACAGTAGTGAGATTTGGAAAGAACAAATACTGAACATTGTGCAGATGAGCGTAAAACACAGTTTTAACACTAACTGGCCTATAGCTGCATTGCGCAAGTGCTGTGCGTACATTTGTTTGTATGACCGCCAATTCACATATTCCCTGTACAGCAGGAATAAATGCAAACATGTAGGCTGGACATAGGTGTAGGTGTAGATGAGACGACTTACACCGTGACAGTACCTCAGAATCCTCTATTGATAACAAAGAATAATCTTCATCTACTAAGAAAAGTTCTTTAGGCCTATCTAGGGTATACAGTGTGTCGTTTACAAACCAGGGGAAGGGTTCTAAATGCCATGCATTAAACTCATGTTGCCCTCGCATAGGAATGTGGATCAGAATTGCATTGTGCGTGAGGGTTGACTCCAACAGTGGGTAATAATATTGAACCTCATTGTCATTAAAAATAGGA